AAAAAAATCTAGAGACACGTCGATGACTTCTATTTTCGAGCTATTTTCGCAACTCGATGTGAAACTTCCTGTATAAAGTCTCCCCTCCACAAGAAATATAATCAATAAAAGAAAAGATTCTGTTCTCGGCTTTACCTATCACGCGCCGTATTGAATCTGATAAGTTAGGATCGTGTTTATTTTGCCCTATCGATAACCCAGATCTACGACAATCTGCCGACTCAGCGCAACTTCCACTCGGGGAAGCAGCGCCTTTCAAATCGACTTCGACTCGGTCTCTCGATTAAAATCGTATTCGTACGATTGCTGTTTGCCGACCGCAAAGTTTGACGTGTCGCGATCTAAGGAGGAAAGGATGAAGGGACCGAGGAGAAGCGGGACGCGAATAACGGGGACGATCGGATTTGCGAGTCCGTCGAACGCTCACGTTTGTTGAATCCAGCTTGGAGCCCTTGAGACGACGCGGCCAAGATTAGTCTGTCTTCGCGCACGCGCGCGCGCGAGGGAGCACAGAGTCGGTGAAGGGTTACCCGTATTTAATTAAACTGTTACTTCGCATTGATTGCCAAACTTGGGCCCTGGGCCGCTCGCTGCAGAGAAGATTATCGAAGTTCGCCGCGCTTCTACTCAGGCCATATCGAGAGGCTGCCAGGCAATCTCGCGAACTTCCAGCCACGCGATAGCGCCAACCTTCTTTGTCAGCCCCGCTTTATTACTACCTTCCGAGCGAGCCGATGCAGTTATCAGCACCCGTATCAGAAAAAAGTTACAAAAATTTTTCAAAGTTAAGCGCGCAAGCACGGAACAGGCGGTTACTTACACTTTCAACAGGTAAACTTCAGACTGTTTCATAAATCTGTCAGTCAAGATAATAGCAATACGAAAATGGACGTGTTTAAAAGATAAATACATGCTAATTATTGCCAGTTATCTCGCGGAAAGAAACAGACAGGAAGGCGATCGTTATGTTCGCGTTGTAAACTTTATATTCTATTTCATACGGCATAAAACAAGCGCCGCGGTCGATCTGGATTGCTTATGGCGATGTAATAGATACGCTGAATGGACGACAAACGATAATCGCGATAGCGGGGCCGCAAGAAGCTAGTTAGCAGGAGTTCCGGTTTTGCATCGTGATAGTGACAGGGACGTAACAAACTGTTAACTAGCTCCTTGTGGTAAGTATCTGCGGTCGAGAAAAGAAAAGTTCGGAATGCGGCGCTCGTCCCGCACGATCACCCGCTGCAATGATTTGACGCGAGGTGAAGTAGTTGCAGCTGCAGTTTCCCGCAAGTTTGCGCGATGATCTTGGCAGGGATGTAATATCTAACCGGTAAGCGGTTTAGTGATACTTCGGGACAATATATTCCAGCGAGCGCTGGATAATCCGTAGCACATAACGCACCATCTTAAGGTTATCGACTATGTATGTGTGTTCCTTTATTGGAAATAACACACAAAAATCGTGACGCCATGATGAAAATCAATTAAGTACTTATAGAATAGAATAGAATTGTTGAGCATGATTTTCAACTTCACGTTACGATAAAACTATCAAGCATCTCTAAATTTATCGTGTTGTTGATAATTGAATTTAACTTTCGATCCTGAAATATTTATATTTTATATCATTGACGCATTAATTTGATCGGATTTTTTTGACACAAATAGAAAAAAAGATTGTGATTTTTAATATTTGATCGCAGACGGTGGACAGTGTTGATGTAAGGGCGTATCAGTTTGATGTAAGTTGCATGCGGTTACGTGTTCGTAACCCACGTCACAATCTTGTCAGGAATATTGGGAGTTGCGTGTAAGCGGTCTCAAAACGACTGGTAACTACGGGGGAGAGCCATTGCACGTTCGTAGCGATAGAGAAGTGCCTTCCAGTGCATCCTCTCCCCTGTTCGCGCTACTCTACTTGTTGAAACGCAAGACCGGCGTCTCCTGTCGATCAAGGGGTAGGCGAACGCGAGCAAGAGGGAGTTTCATTTAAGTTAGAAATTGCTTCTTCCGTAGCGATGATGGGCCGCAAATTGGGCGCGAAACAGAACGCGAAGGAGAGGAGTCTTGAGCGCGGACGAGATGACGAGAGAGACGAGAGAGACGAGAGACGAGAGACGAGAGACGATGAGAGGGCGCGAAGGAAACAGGGAGGAACGCGACGGGACGCGTGAACCAAAGGACGTATCGATTTTTTATTTATGTACCTGTCTATCTGGCGGAAATGTAGTAAGTGCGAATGACGAGTCCAGTGCTCGCTGTAAGTTGGAGGACAACGTCGCAATATTACGACACAGTATCGCTGTCGAAGTGATTCACGCGAGTTTATCACGCGAAGCAACGATGAGACGTCGTCAGCTGTAGGTTCAAACGAAGTGTTAACGAACGCCCAACTCGGCGGAGCAGAACCGATCGTTACGGAGATATTCGCGATGATAGACGCTCGTTAATGCGAAGCGACGCAGATGAAATCCGATATTCTACATGAGCAGAGGACATTTTTTTGTATATCAAAGTGCCCGGTCATCGCGTTCTTCGAGCTATAACGAGCTGTGATTATCCGACCGGCGACAAAAGCCCACGTTACTAAAGGATATTTGATAAATCGTCGCGCGCTGATGCCATCGATGATGCGTAAATATATCCGCAAAATATGTAAGACATAAAAAGCAATAATATCCAATAATTTCAATAATAATAATAAAAAAAAAAAGAAACTAAATAATAAAGAGAAAATGCGATAAAGTGCGACTAAAATTTATTGATTTATTTATTTACAATTATCGTCAGCTCAGGCATATATTATCGAGAAAAAAATCGGCAAGGAGAAAAGACACTAATTATCTAGGAAATTTATAACATGCGAAGGAGGAATTCCGAAGGGAGCGCGCGGGAGTTCTTCCTTCGTGAATATCGAAGGTCGGGGGAGACGACGGCGTGGATTAGAGTGCACGACCGGAATTTCGCGGCGAAATCCATTTCTGTGCCGGAACTATGACCGACCCAGGAGGGCTTTCAACCAGGACGAATGAATACCCCAAAGGGGGGATTACTTCCGTCTCATTAACGTGGCTCGCGATTCCACGCGCGGCGGAATCGAGAAATTCGTCACGCCCGCCGCCCGTACACTGGCGAAAATTCTAATTCATTCGGCGCTCAACGATGAAAACGGCGATTGCGCCGACTGTTAATCAGGGAACGATGTAACGCGGTTCACTCCGCCTTTTACGATAAGTGATAATTTATTATTTTTTTTCTATCTATTTATTTTACTAAGAATTCTAGAGTAGAAAAAACTGAAGATTATTGTGATCTTCCAAAATTCTACACTTCGATACATCGAGACAATTCTTCGCAAAATATTTTATATTTTTTTTAAATTAGATATATAATATCACGTTGGTTCGCAAAAAAGTTTTTAATCTGAAGGATCTTCCATTAATAAGGATTTTGCCTCGTAATTTCGAGGCAAATGTCATCTTGGAATGGAATCGAAGGCGTCGCTATTAATCCGGGACGCTTCATGGCGTACTGTGCAACGATAATGTAATCGTCTAATACGGCCTTCCCCGGATGACGCGATGATTTCCACTGTCATGCTAATCCGCGTAGCCCGTAATTGCGCGTTTATGCGCGCTCGAGAGCCGGATTGACCTCGAGCATTATGCGTTCAGGATGTGTCCCGGGTCTGTCATGGGATGATGGGGGAGGGGGGAGTGGCAGGAATTATTTGCTCGTGGAAGAATAGAAGCGTACGTATGATGGATGGCGCCAGCGTGTTGTCACGTTGAGGGGATAGGAGGCTGTCATGCTAGAGATTGAAATCCGCAAGTTTCTCCCGTTTTCCTTTTCATCTCGCTGAGGCGCGGAGTCGTCGCAGTCATTATGATTCAGCTGAAATCTTAATGGAGTATCGAGAATTGCGGCAGGATGTAGATATATTACGAGCCTCGCGTTACGCCCACTAAAAGGGAAGGAGAGAGAGAGAGAGACTCCGCCAGTCGTATCTTTTTTCCGGAAACGTGAAAGTCGCACCGGAGATTCGATGCTACGTCACGTGCGCTCGTTTTACTGCCGCGATACTGAATACGTCTCCATTATAGCGCCTCTATCCACTCGCGGAAGTTCTGTATTCTTACGACTTACGGAGTATATATTTAGGCGTCATCGAGAAATCGTCTTTATCATTTCGCCGTACGATGCCGGATGGATCTCGTATTACGATGTGATTATGCATTATGTTGCGCCAAGTCATTTTCCTTTTTCCCTTATTTTTCCGATTGGCCGATACGATCGGTAGCGGCTGGGCGATGAATTGATTTACTCGTCTTACGTCTCGACTGCAGTGATAAATACCTATCACGCGCAAGTGTCCGCTACGTTGAGTACGGAGTTAGCCATAGCTAGCTGGTTTCCAGGTGGTACGCGTTGGATGAAGGTGGTGGCGCAGGATGGGCTAGACGGGCTCCGAGATACGGTGTATACCTTCGGAGCGATACGTCATCCCTGACAAGCCGGCGTGCCGATAACCCCCGTCTACGACAAACCCCGTGTGTGGCCTCACACCTCATCGCCGCAAGGGCCATCCATCATGTTTGAGTAATGTAGGGGAACGATTTCGCGTTATTGCGAATGACCGACTCTGTCGCACGTGTCCTTTTACCGTTCTGTCTCCTCTCGTGGATTATCTTCAAAAGATTTGTTCCGTTAACGCGATGAACTGATATCGTCGTACTTTCATGATGCTTCAACACTATCTCTTGCGATCAAAAAATAGCTGAGCAAATCAAAAGCAAAAAAAAAAAAAGAATAATACTCGCATACTCGTCAAAATAACTCTTTGACATGTTGATTTTATCGTCAATTTTCAATTTTTTACTTTTTACTAACGTGAGTTAGATATTACATTTTTATTCGGTTAAAGCAATATTTATCGCTTGTCAATAGACTTGTAAAATACGAAATACTAGAACGAAATACTAGAACGGATTACTCACCGTTATGGACGAGCAGCGCAGAATCACGAGCAACAGTGATAAGGTCGCTATCAGTGAGAGTTTCGTCAGATGCGTTACCGGAAGTCGGTGTGTCGCTGAGACCGGCACCACTGCCGGGCATATGATATAAGGGATGTTGTTGTTGTTGTTGCTGCTGCTGCTGCTGTTGATAGGCACGCTGTTTGTGCTGACTTGTATTGTAATGATTATGGTAGGACTGGTTAGTTTGATGATTATTTTGCGGATAGGCGCGACTACGTAAACTGGAGGTATTATCCTCACCCTCGCTGCCACTTAGATTGTAGGCCGGATAAAGCCGTCCCTTCCCTGAAACAAAGGACGAAATAACTCATAATATTTCCTTTCAATCGCTTAGCTTTGAATAATCTTGCAGTTTTTTTGATTTAGTTTCTTAAATAAATTATTAATTGCTGATATTTACAAAATAATAATTTTAAAACGATATATTGTATATTAATCAAGTCAACAGAAATTTATGAGAGAATTCATAATTAAGTTATTATGAATTAGGAGATATTCGTACGCCTTTATTATTTTATTGCACGTATAACATTTCATAAAATGTATGACGAGCAAAATGGAGTAGTCACAAAATATATCGTTGTTTAATTTCGAAGCTCGCTCTATCGTGGCACGAGATCTGACGGGGTTTGCGTTTGTCAAAGAGAACAAAATATCGCTGGTATCTTGCTGCAAGCTGTCGCAACATCGGAAAGAGATCGGCGCGACGGCCGAGGACGCAAGAACGTGCGACGCATTAGGAGACCCCGAAGAAGAAGGGGAAGGAACTGAGAAAACAATCCTACCGTCACGCACACTTGCACAAATAGTGAAGAAATGCGAGACTTCCGCATCCTTCGCTGCGCGGAGATCGTTCGAAGGGGAAATATCCGGTGCGGGTCTTCTTTTTGGATGGTCTTCGCGACCGGCCTCTGATGATTTCATCGCTTCCGCCTTAGTTGAAGCGATCCCGCGAGACCGACGCTCGCGTGATACCTCCGTGTTTTTTTCCAGAACAATAATAGCGCGTAAACGCGGGCTCCCGACTATCAATGGAGGAGGAGGCTAATCGGTCCCAAGAGCGCGTTACCAGTTGTCATCGTTTCGGAGACGGATCTTAGAAACGTGGAATCTCTCGTGATGCCAGATGTCGTGACAACGAGTGAGAAGGAAAACCGGTTTTTGGGACGACACGGGGAAAAGAGAGAAAGAGGGCTCTCGGGGTGGTACGTTATGGAAAAAGCTGATGGCGCGGCGACCCGCCTCGTTATGGCGATGCCTTCGGGATAAATCGCGCGAAAACTTTGATCGATGCCTCCCGCCTTTGACCTCTGACTCCTCGCGCGGCTCGCGCGGGCTCTTGCATCAGCGAGCTGTGCTATCGGGACATCGATATCGCCAAGTCGGTTTTCTTCCCTGAATCGGCGTCTTTGACACGCCGCCGGCCGATCGATCGACCTGTCGCCAAGAGTTACATCGCGCTGGGAAAAAAAGAGGCAGAGGTTCGTTAGCATCTCGTTGAGAAGCGAGGGATGAGAAATCGTGTTTCTCGATAACCCTGCGCTTCCTCCGCGCCGAGACAAAATGGTTTATAGGTGGACGTGTATCAGTGTCCCGACGACGAAATCGATTATCGACAAGCCGTGGACGCTGAAGAGAGAGAGAGAGAGAGAGAGAGAGAGAGAGAGAGAGAGAGAGAGAGAGAGAGAGAGAGAGAGAGAGAGAGAGAGAGAGAGAGAGAGAGAGAGAGTAGAGAGTAGTAGTAGTAG